GTACTAGGCTTTATAAAAAGATATTAGCTAGTACTAGGGCTAGCCCCTTCCTATATGCTTTTAGAAGTTTGTTATAGATCTTGTCTTCTCCTAGTGCCTTATTGCTTGGAATTTTCTTTAGGATCCTTTTAATAGTTTCGGGTTTAATCTAGGTATCTCTTAGTATGCCTAGTAGTAGAGTCTCTTATTCTTTCTCCTTTATGTCTAATAGGTCTGCTTATACTTTTCTATAGAAGAAGTGTTAGCCTAGGGCTCTTACTTTCCCTTCTATTATAGTCTATATTTGTCCTTATTAGTCTATAATGTCCGGGAATTGTAGTAGTATATCCTTATCCTATTTAGGTCTCCTTGCCTATTTAGCTATCCTCTATATCTCCTCTAGTTTCTTTATAATTATTCCTATTATAGATCTCTATTCTTGTATCTTGTCTTTCTTAATCTAGATCTTCTTTTCCTAGTAGGCTTTATTATAGTTGTCCTATACTTCCTAGGTATAGGTTTATATCTACTGCCTCCTAGCTTTCCTTGCTACTTTAACCTTCCTTATATACTTACTAGTCTAGTATAGTTGCTAGTACAGTAAATATTTCTTTGCTAGGGTATGCTTTCTAGCTACCTATTTTAGGATTCCTATTAGTTCTTCTACTGCCTTATTAATGTCCTCTAGCCTTAGTAGGTGCTTTATTAAGAGTTCCTCTAGTTTTAGGTCTCTTTCTAGTTCCTCCCTAATCCTACCCTATTAGGCACCTTTCTAGTTGAGCTTCTCCTCTAGTTCCCTTTCCTAATTAGCTTAGACATTTAGCTTAATCTACACCGGGAAGTAGTCTAATAATTCTTCTAGTTCCTAGTTGACCCTATATCTTATAATCCTATTCCTAATCTAATATAATACAAAGTATAGGTCTAGTATACTACTACTTCCTCTTGCCTCCTAAGTAATTAGTCCCTTTAAGGTAACAATTTCTATTCCTTCCCTCTCTAATATATCAATTAGTCTTCCTACTAGGAAGTAGTAAGCTAGGGTAAAGTCTAAGCCCTAGAGGGGGTAGTAGAGGTTGAAATCCCTAAGTAGGATTTAGTAGGTGTTCCCCTAGATAACTCTAGGTAGTCTTTCTAGGGTTTTCAGTTAGGTACTGCTTCTTAAGTCTAGTAGTAGGTTGTATATATAGTAGACTTAGAGTGTACCTTAGGATGTCTCTACTTAAATTAATATTAGGTCCCTATCCTCCTATAGTATAGCCTACTAGGTTTCTGTATCTATCTCCTTACTAATATAGATGTATATCCTTAGGGCTCCCTAGTTGTAGATAATTAGGTAGTATCTTAGGTCTTTAACTATTGCTAGTCTCTTTGTATATAGGTTAAGCTAGGGCTCTTAGATTGCAATAATGTAATGTTCTTTTAGGTTTAGTGCTTAAAGGAAGCTCCTCTATACCTTGTCTTTGCTCTTATTGATATTGTACTGTATAATGTTTAGTAATGTTGCAATATTTATTAGGTTTTATCTATATTATTTCCCTATAAGTTTTCCTTTAGTCTTCCCTCACTTTAGACTAATATTTAACTAAGCTTTGTCTGCCCTGCTTCCTTTCCTATAATATTAAGGTATCTTAGTCTCCCTAGTTGTTAGTAACTCTCTTATACTAGTAAGGCCCTGAATGTAAACCTATTATCTTATCTAGACCTCTTTTGTAGCACTTAGCTAGGTTGCTTCTATACCTAGCTGCCCTAGCTTATTATATATCTTTTTAGTATATTAATTCTAGCCTCCTTTGCCTTCCTAGCTGCCTATATTCTTACTAGGTATTCCTTCGCCTAAGAGGGGTATCTTTTAGTATAGTATATACATCTTGCTTCTCCTTTATATGCTTTACATTCTTTAACCTAGTAATCCCCTGCATAGTAGGAGCAGGTGTTAGTTGTCTTTATACACTTAGCTGCTAAGTGTCTATAGTGTTGACATTTGAAGCACTGTATTATCCTATAGTTGCTTCTGTATATCTCTGTTTCTAATCTTTCGAAGTCTTAGAACAACCCCTAGTCTAGCACTATATTAGCTTGCTCTATACTCTCTACCTAGATAATTAGGGAAGACTGCTTCTTAGTCTCTTCGATTTTCCTTTTAATCTATACCACTTTTGTAATCTTTAGGCCTAGGTATATAGCTTAGTTTTGTCTCTATAGGCTCTTAATATCCTATTCTTCCCTAAAGCTTCTTATTATATTATAGGCTATAATTATAAATTGCTATTAGGAGACCTTTGCTGTTTTCCCTATCTTAGTTGTCTATTCTTTTTGTGTTTCTAGCTTCTTTTTGTCCTGCTCTTATACTATAAATAGCTTAATTACCCCTTTACCTTCGTTCCTAGCCCTAATTACCTCTTTAACTATAATTCTTTCTATAATCTCTTTCCCTATAAGTCCTTAGATTTCCTTTTGCTCCTATAGGTCCGTAATATAGACTCTAACTACTATCCTCGGGGGTTTTAGCGCCTCCTAACTAGCTACTACTGCCTAGGTGCGGTAGTTTAGGCTTGTCTCCTATTGTTTCTTCGTAATCTTTGCTACGACTGTATTAGCTACCTTTGTAATTACGTAGCTTGCCTAGTTATAGATTGCTTTTAGTCCTCTAAGGAGTTCTAAGATTATTATCCTATATACCCTCTTAGGGGTTCTTCTATCCTCCGCCTTTAGCACCTCCTCTACCCTAGTATATAGTGCTTTCTATTCGTCCTCCCTTCCTTCTTAACTATCCTCCCTTCGTCTCTAACTGTTCGCTGCTATCGTACGCCTTACCGCTACTATATAGCGAGAATATCGTCTCCGAATTCGTCTAGAAGACCGGTAAGATTCGCGCGCCGATAGAGAGTTAAAATAGTTATCCTAGGTGCGTTTTAGATCGCTATTAATGTACTGTATAGCGTAGACAACTAATAAATAGTCGTCTAGAAGGGCCCTCGGTATATTTCGCTAGTTAAGCTTATAATTACGTATATAATTATTATACTGCTTGCGACTAGAGCCGTTAAATACAGTGTAGTCCTTAAGCTTAGCATCCTTCTTCTTCTAAACAGATAGTAAGGAAGGTCCTACTATTAGTTTAGTAGTAGTTGTCGGGGTTTTCTAAAGGCGGCAAAGCTCGAGGAGGTTATCCTTTAGCTACTGCTCTTAGCGTAGGGTAGTAAGCCTATTTTAAGTAGCTTCTTAAAGCCTTCCTACTAGTTGTAGGCTAAAGGCTAGTTAGCTATATCGTTAATTAATAATGTTATTAAGAATGTCGTTAATAGGCAATTCTAGATTGTTACCTAGGACTATAGGTTCCTTAATAGGCTCTATACTACTAGTATTGTTATTGCTAGCGCTACTAGCGGCGCCGCGGTTGTTATTGCTTCGTAATAAGCCGGCTATTATAATAAGGGGTAGCACTAATAATGTATTATAGCCCCTTATAGTACGGATGTAGCGGAATTAGTAGGTATTAGCCTAGTATAATCGACTTAGTATAATAGGCAGTATAGAAGGCCTTACTTAATAATTAGTACGGTTGTTTTAGTAAATAGTACATATAGGTCCCGTTCTTCGGGCGCAATATAGTTAAATCGATAGTTCTCGTAGCTATACTACTAAAAGCTTAAAATAGGGACTATCTAGCTACTACCCTTAAAGGGTAGATCGAATACTATATAATAAGGGTTATATTAGTAGGTAGATAGGGTAGTAGTAGGTACAAGTAGTATTCGATAAAGATCTAGGAGGAGAGGGAGGAAGGTAGGAGAGTTAGCCTAATACTAAGCGCTAAGCCCTACCTAAGGCATCGAGACCCTAGCTTTACTTAGCCTAGTTATATACTAATTACGTATAGCCTCTTTAGCTCTAATAACTATAGATATAGTATAGTACTAATATAATATAAGAGCTAGGTTATAATAGTAGTCGCTATAGTAGTAGAAGGAAGAGATACGAGTTAGTAGGTCTAAGTATATCTATAAAGCGGGGCACTTTAAGTTAGAAGGAGGTAGATTCGAGCGACTTATAGTTAATTATACGTACGTTACGTTAAGCGACTTAGGTATTATATATTATTTTAGTAAAGTTTTAAATAAGTTGCTTACGATATAACTTATAGTAGCAAAGTTAGAGTTATCGGGCCTAAATCCGGGCTAAATTAATAGATATTCGCGTATAACGCTATATCTTCCTACCTAAATCTCGCTGTCGCTATCGCCGTCGCGTAAGCTATCGTTATTACTATCTAAATAAGATATTATATATCGTATATCCCGGTATATCGCTACTTCTAGCCTAGATATCTATATTTCTAACTTAAAATAGCTAGTATATAAGGCTATTCGAGCAATACCTAAGAGTAATACCTTACGACTTAATAATAATTATACTATTTAGTAAGTTATTAACAGTCGTACGCGTACGAGCGACTTAGGGTCCGCTAACCTCTATTTATTAGACGTATTTCGCTATATCTTTAATACCGCTCTAGGTACTACTTTAAAGATAGGCCTAATTAGGACTCTTAGCTTCCTTTAGAATCCTATTCGAGTACTATTCGCTACCGCTCTAGGCTTCTAATACGGTAAAACACTTACTAGGTTTAGTACAACTTAAGTATAACTTAGTCTTTTAATATAACGCGTTATAGAGAGACTACTAGTAGAGGCCGTACGTTCTAATATAGCAACGGTATAGGTTATATAAAATTTATACTACGCTTAACTATAATTGGATCTTAGCGGCTTAATTAGGGACTAGAGCGGCACCTGTCGAGTTAGAAAGGTGTAGCGAAATCCGTCTATTATCTTTCCTTCCCGGCCGCTCGAGCCAGGATCTTGGGCCCCGACAAATCTACCAATCTGTCGGACACGGAAGATGCGAAAACAGCGTTGATGACCTGCAGCGATTAACGCGGCCATCCTGACGCTACTGCCTGGCTAAGGCATTGACCTCCATCCTTGATCCAACGACAATCCTTCAGCACCGCAGACATGAGGAACGACGACTTCCGATCACTCCTTTCCAGCAATGCGAATGGCGCCTCACCCTCAAGTCGACCCTCTGCGCTGGGGGAAAAGAAGAGCGCATTCGTGGGAATGACACCGCGGCCGGGAAAGGCTATCGGCAGTAAGGATTTTGCTCGACAAGTACGAGAACAGCATGCTTCCTTACAACCTACCAAGAAATTCAAGTCAGTTGCGCCGAAGGGCAGTAAGTTTGCTGCTGGATATACCGACCGAGCGAAAGCGCGACAGGAAGCAGAGGATGCTGAGGATGACAAGGCAAAGAGGATCAAGGCGCTCGAGGAACAGGTGAAGCTTGGACAGCTGGAGCAGGCGACGTTTGAGGCTTTAAGGGATGAGATTACAGGAGGTGATGTCTCCAGCACGCATCTAGTAAAGGGTTTGGACAAAAAATTATTGGAGCGCGTGCGCAGAGGAGAGGATGTATTAGGTCTCGGCGGTGGGAAGAAGGAGGACGATGGATATGCTTCACCCGACGTTGATGACGAGCTAGATCAATTGGCTGAGAAAGAGGTCGAAACCGTACAGCGAGAGCAAGTTGAGAAGAAGGGCGTGAAGGCTCCGGCGCAAGTTGCTGGCAAGAAGCGCACACGGGACGAGATCATGGCGGAGCTAAAGGCACAGCGCAAAGCAGCCGCTGACGCGAAAGCAGCCTCTGTGCCGAGCTTGGACAGCAGATGGCGCAGAGTGGGCGACCAGGTGAAGCCGAAGGTCGAGATTGATCAAAAGGGCAGAGAGGTGGTCACGATCACGAATGAAGACGGCACTGTGAAGAAGATGGTTCGAAAAGCTCAGGCGGGTACAGAATCAAAGGCTGCTATGCCAGATGTCAGCAGGCCGGTCTTGGGAGCAGATGTTGTGGTTCCAGAGCAGAAGAAGAATCCGGAGCCGGACGTGGAGTCTGACGAGGACATCTTCGGAGGGGTGGGAACTGAATACGATCCGCTTGGTGGCATGGATGACGAGGACAATAGCGGCAGCGACGACGAGACTGAGTCTACAAAACCCAAGGTGGCTACTTCACAGGAGAAGTCCATCGAAAGGACAGAACGTCCCCAGGAGGACGATGCCAACCAAAAGGCGACTGCCTCAGAACCATCGAAAGCACAACGAAATTACTTTGGCGAAAGTAAGAGCAAGGACGAGGAGCAAGAGCAAGACCGCTTCAAAGGAATCGAGAACGTGCTCAAGAAGGCGTCACAGCTGGGCGCCGAACGATCTGCTGCGGATGAGGATGTCGAGGAGGATAATGGTTCCGAGAGCAAAGAAGAGCGGCAAGCGCGTCTCGCGAAACGTGCAAAGATGCTCGCGCGGCAAGATCGCGACATGGACGATATTGATATGGGCTTTGGCGAGAGTCGCTTTGAGGACGAAGCAGATTTCGAGGACGCTAAAGTCAAGCTGTCGCAATGGAAGGGTAAGGTCGGCGAAGACGATGGCTGGGATGAGGACGAGAAGAGCGGTAAGAAGGAGAAGAAACGAAAGCCCAAGAAGAGAAAGGGTGATGCGAATAATATGGACGACATCATGAGGGTGATTGAGGGAAGGAAGCAATGAGCAGCGACTTTGCGCCAGCTCCCGAACGAAGACAAGTCTGATCTTCTCTAGGTCGCAAACGCCATCATATTGCACAATTCGATGCACCGAACTTCCAATGAGCCCGACCAGATCTGGTCGCGGAAAGCTGCAGCTCTTGCTTCTGGACGGCTTGGACCGAAGTCTATCATTTGAGGCCAGTTGTGTTCACTTCCCGCTCCAGTAATAATTTGGGCTGCAACCCACCAACTCAACACAAATGTTTTGACACTTCATGCGAGAAAGCGCCTCTTCATGCCGTCCTCATCGGCCTGATCTGCTCGTTTCGGCGAATGAAACTTGCTAAGCGCCCTCTCAGCTACCGCGTTATTTTCAGCTGAGAACTTCGACATGGTATGCAGCTTTGCAGCCAATCAATTCTGACTGGCTGCCGCGAACGCCATCAACAGCATCGTCGAAGCGGTATTATCATCCGATCCCTTGTTAGATGCAGAGAACATTGCTTTCTATAGCAAAGGTGGGTTTCGAGCTTGCGACGCCGCAATTGTGCAGCGAGCTCGCCTGGTAGAATAATTCCAGCTGCCGCGGGAAAATGTAAGGTCTAGGGATTGCAGTCTTCTTTGCAGTATTGTCTTTTGTTACACACACTTATCCTCCATCGCATGACCTTAGATCGCGAACGGAATTTTTCCACAGACCAGCTCGAAATCACGACAACGTCTGTGCTCACTGGAGGGAGACACAACCATGTCTCCATTCCTCTTCGCCCGATCAGAGCACCGAAGAACAAACACAACGCATCACATCTCGGCCTCAAACACCATAACCTGCACAAAATCAAACCCAAGCCAAATCCTCATCTCCCGCACAACCCTCATAGTCTCCCTCACAATCTTCATCTTCATAACTCTTTCCTGCCTCCTCATCCTTTCCGCCCTCTTATATCGCCACCATAATCGACGCAAACAAAACCGAGAAGCCACTACATGGGGTCGAAGATCTCGCTTCATCCAGGCCTCATCGAACGCAGAAAAGAACCGCATCGAAATGACCCGAAAAGAAATCGACGACGAATACTCGAGACAGTATCGAGGTGTTTGGAATTCTGCGCCGGCAGAGAATCCTGAGATGGGGAGTGATAGTCCTATTGAGATTGGAGCGAGAGAGGAAACGGTGTGGGAGGTTGCTGGTACGCCTGTTTTGGGGCCTTTCGGGGGAAAGAGGGTTAGAGTTAGGCAGAATGATGATCAGAGGGAAGTGGTGGGTAGGGAGAGGGAGAGGAGAGGTGTTATGGGAAGGATGAGTTTGTTTTTTGATGAGAGGGTGGGTGTTTGGATGCCGAAGAGATGAGTATTGTATGCTATTGGGGGAGAAGGATGGAGCTTTGACGCGCATGGCACTAGGAGAGTGTCGTTCAATCTCTAATCTTGGAGGCCGATGAGGTGGGAAGGAGAAATGGTAGTTAATTGAGGAAGAAGAATGGATCTTTGACCCGGAGTCACTGAATCGAACTCGCTTGATCTGGTCTTCAAAGGGACCCGTATCTACTGTGTTTGCGACTGTACCTTGCGCAGCAGGACGTTCCTGGATTCGAAACCTATGACTCGACTCAGTCGATCCGGGCGGACCTGGCTGGGCACACTTCGAGCTAGTTCGCCGTCTTGCTCGTAAAACCTCCACCAGAGCGACACTAGTGGCGGAATCAACTCGAACGTTTGCCTTCGCCCGCCGGCGATGGTCATATTAGGGTATCAGTTTCGGACTTTCCCTTCAGCATACGATATCGAGGGGTCGGATTGAGAGCGAACATTTCAAGGCCTTGCTTATCGCGAAGTTTCTGAACCCGTCCATGGTCGTTCGGCAACCTGTCAAACTTTGGCGGAAGTCCAGGCTGAAGAAGAAGCCTGTTGGAAGCACGCTTATTCCTGTTGCTTGTAGCCATGGTGCACAGGCATACGACTTCGGGAAAGCCACAAATTCGGGAGAGTCGAAACAATATCGGGCCCCGAATTCTAAGCGTCTTGTAAATGAGTCGAGGATTGGGCATCGAGAGTGCTCCATTTATCAAGTGTTGACAGAGCCAGCTGGGTGAGCTGCCGGACGTGAGATATGCCAAGGACTTGTTTCAAGACGATCCAACTATGAACCCGAGGCTCAGCTGATTGCTAGGAGCGAGGCCAGGAGGATGTCGCACGAGGCTGATATGCTAGAAAGTTGATGGATTTATTAGAAGAGTTTGTTGCTTTGGTTTCGCAAAGGAACAGCAGTACGTCTTTTCCTATCTCCGTTTCAGCCCCTTCGTAGTTACGCGCAAGTCGAACGTAGGCACAACACGGTTGGCCGAAATTCGGCGACTCTAACGACAGGAGTAGCAAGTATTCTTCTCCCAGTCGAGCGAGGCTTTATTACTTTGGGCGTTGAACCTGATAATACGTCCATGGGTCCATTAAAGTCGTGGTTCGCCACGTACCTGGGACATGCTAGCATTCTCGCCTTTTGGTCTTATTGACATATCTTCAGCCGAGGAGGAAGTCAAGCAGAGGACAGCCAATCTGCCTAGCAGTGCTGACTGTATGTCTTCGAGACAGTTGCACATGTGTAGGTAAGCTAATAGTCATCTTTAGTCGGAATAGATTTCCTGGTTGGATTTCCTCGTGGCGTGCAGCGATGTTCCTGGTGGTGGCCGGACGCTGGTGCATGAACGCAGTCAAAGCTTATGAACTTCATCTGGGAAGAGAAATAGCTTCACCTACGCTGCGGCCGGGCCCCGGCAGCATGAAGCAGCAGAATCTTCAATGCCAATTAAAATACTTCGCCGATGCCTCGTCAGCATCCGCATGCGGCCTCATCGAGCGAAAGGATAATTTGGATCAAACTCGGCCCCGATGGATGGAACTGTAGCGGGACATCCTGCTGGTCTGAACAGGCTGGTACTCGCGTCTGACTCTCAGTTGGGCTGCGAAGCCTGTTCACCAACATGCTGGCAGTTGATCATAGTCCAGGAACTACCTCAGACTGTGTGATAATTAGTGCATTTCCCATGGCATGTTGTTTCACCTTGTCTGAATGACGGCGAACCTATCTGCCCTGCTGATTATGATCATCTGAGGACTGTTCGGAGCTGGATCTCATAGTGGCAAAATGACTGCCTGTAGCGGACGCTATGATGCGGCCGGCAAGTAGCCTCGCAAGTTCTTGGCTGTCGTCCTCGAGTGGACGGGTTGCTTAAACAAATGATCAAGTGATCGATGTGAATAACGCTTTTGTTGTTCGCTTGGTGAATCGCTGGATCACATCTAGGGGAAGGACGTCCAAAGATTGCCGCGAGACTTTTACAGAGCTCCTGTGCAGGGCGGCTGCGTTAGCAGCGATGGCAATGGTCAGCGAGGGTGTAATCGGCAGTGCACGGTCGCTTCGGAGCATGGTCATGGGCTGGAGATGCTCCACGTATGGCCGTGAATTGGCATCGAAAACACCGTGGTTATGTAGACACTTCTTAGATAACTAGGCGACCTTGCCGGAACGACTCATCAACGCACGCACATCGTCGGAGGTACAGGTAGAGGGGCCAACCTCCCCGCAGTTGGTGCGCAATAGTCACACACCTGGCTCGTTATCCGACTGATCTGCTGCGCACCACCAGGGAGAACGGATATATTAGGCTAGCCATCGCTCCAGCAGACGCTAGTGCAATGTCGAGACTGCTCCCCGACGGATGCTAGCCTTCAACGTATAAAGAACTTGCAGGAAGCGCGGTCCTTTCATGGTGGAATGCTAGCGAGCCCTCGAGGAGAACGGGGACCACTTCGAGAAGAGTCACATGCGTGTTTCGTTTCTCTTCTATAGATCCACGACTGCTTATGGAGGGCCTTCGTCTTGACACGCTTGGGGGCAGGGAATATCCTAGCAGCTTGGATGACAAGAAGTCGAGATCAAAGCATCCAGAATGACGGAGACATTCATCGAAGCATAGCTGCAGTAGGTTGGCAGGGACGGCTATCGCACTCTTTCCCAGGATATCGTAATTGTTGAAGAGGGATGTGTTGATTGACACAAGCGGGTAATAATGGTGCTTCCAGACGCTTCATCGTCACACACAGTTGGGAGAAGATGATGGATCCGCACCCTGAGAATGGTAAGAGCTCTATCCATCACGCATTCGGGCACTGTCCGTGCTATGACAGCCAAAACCTACAACCACCTGAACGCTCAGTGTTAGCACTTGTTCAAAAACGGGCAGGAGGGAACTGGTTCTGAAGCTCATCAGGCTAATTGTCGTGAATAGGGAGATACCATACCCCTTGGTTGGTTGGTTGGTATGTCATTTGAAGCCTATTTGAAGACCTTTGATCTATGCGGCTTATAGATACGTAGCCTAATGCCCCCGCATTGGCTGCAATTTGACCCGCTCCGTGCTAATCCTTCGCCTTACTATCGTTATGATTTTATAGACATTCCCGTCAACATTTGATTAGTACGCCTTTCAATGTCCCTTAGATTAATGTGTGCCTCTTAACGAGTCTTAATAAATAAGCTAATGCCTCCTTATATAACTAGGGGGTTGCTCGCTTAGTTAGGAGTATAGTATACATATACTAGCTTGCTAGTAGCAGGATTAAGCTACCTAGTTACCGGTATACTATAGATAAATGTCTGTTCTACTACTACCTAAAGCGATAGGTACACTACCTACCCTAATTAGTAGTTTAAATACAGAGTCTAAGGATAGTAGTAGCACTATAGGGCAGCTCGGCTTCGATAAGCCGTACGCCCGGTAGTAATAGGCTTTAAAGAGGTTAGTGTTAATGTCCGGGCTATTCTAGTTAATAGCCGCTCGATAGTAGTTTTATTAGCATACCTACTAGCTAGCGAGACGTTCGGTTAAGTAGCCGTATAAGTAGATACGGCGCGTAGTATTAATTTACGCTAATAGGGGTACGCGCGGCATTTAACTATCGTTACGGTATATACGTAGTTGCCCTTAGGTGCCTACTAGGTTCGTTAGCGTATAGTGCGTATTA